TGACTAGGGGGATACTTCCATCAGAGAAGGGAGATGTGCAAAGTGGTCAAATATGTGAAAGCTCTCCACAAACACAGAGATAGAAAAATCTCCTCTAAGGCTGGGAAATCCCAAGACCAAGGGACTTAAATTACAGCCCTGAAGGCTCAGGGCAGCACTAGCAGAGCCTCTCAAGCTGCCGGGGCGGCTGGGCCTGGCTGGTGCTGCCTGCGTGCGGAGGTGGAGTCTCTGCTGCCAGAGGTCCCGAGGAACAGGTTAGACACGCGTCTGCTGGAGAGGCTGGGGGGCTGAGGCAGTGCCTCAGGAGCCCTTCCAGCCCCCTCCTGCCGCTGGCTGGGAAGTAACCTTTGCTCCTCTTTCAGCTCCTGAAGATAAAGCCAAATGGGGAGGCACCCTATGTGGAGATGGCGTTCACCGAGCACAAGCAGTGCGAGTGCAGGTAGGGACCCCCGAGCTTGTTTTGCACCCTTGTGCCCCTCCAGCAAGAGTGATCCTGCCAGCTCACCCAGCGTGTGGGATAAAGATGCCCTGGGGCACCTCAGCCATACTGGGACAACCCCACTGCGCCGGGGTTTGCCAGTGCTTATGGCCCTTGCTCAGCTGCAGGCTGTACCGTGCCTCTGCAGCCTGCTCCCCGCAGCCAAGGGGGTGCTTAGTATTGTGCGGCCAGGACAGGCACCATCCACTGTCTGCAGGGCTTGTCTGCAGGGCTGGAGCTGCTGTGGCGCCCCGACTCTGTGAGCAGGGATGTCTGTGCCCCCCACCCCTGCAGCTGCCTTGGCATGCCTGGCGTGTGCTCCTCTGGCTGGAGGAGCTGCCTGTGGGTAACGGAGCAAGGCTGGTGGCTCTGAGGCAGGTGTTTGGTGTGGGGCAGCACGCCCAAGGTGGTGGCTCAGCAAGGGAGCTCCATGGCTTAGCATAGCTGAGCGTGACTGTGGCCCAAAGAGAAAGCTGAAGGGCTGGGCCTTGGGCCTCCATTTAAGGGAGGCACCCCATCCAGGGCTGGGGAGCAGGGGTTTACATCCAAGCTGACAAATGAAAGCTTGAAATGTGCAGTGCCAACCTGGTGTGGATACACAGTGCTGGCCTGGGATGGATGCACAGCACCAACCTACCACAGACTCCTAGCATGTAGTTAACCCCTTGGGGTGCTCACTGTGTCCCAGAAGTGGTGAGAGCTTGTGCAGGACGGAGCCTCTGCCTGGGGGCTGCAGTGCTGTGGGAGCAGGGAGCGGCTCCGGTGCTACCCGCAGCCGGTCCCCACTGCAGAGCCTCTCCAGCACTGCCTGCATGAGGGTCCTGGCGTTCACTCTCCATCATGACCCCAGTATTGCGAAAACTGGGAACTGAGTGTCCTGCTGGGCAGCTGTTAGACATGATCCTTGCCTGGAAAAAGAGCCTGAGGATCCCTGGGTCGGTATTCCCCTGCAGTTGTAAGAGCGGCTGTGCTGGAGCAGACCCAAGGCCCATCCAGCTCCGTACCATCTCTGGAGCATCTGTTGGTGGATGCAGAAGAGGGAGTGGAAAGAAGCACATGTTACTTCCCCCTCCCCTCCGCTTCCAGCTATTTTCCATGCAGGGAATTTCCTGAGCCTGTTGTAGTTTTCCTACCTAGGGTAACTCCCAGGGGATCTCCTACAAGTACTTGTGCAGGCTGCCTTTGAATCTGTGTAAACTTCTTGCTTCTGCAGCACCTTTCAGCTTCTCCCTAAGCCGCCTTCCACACCTTTACATTGCTCCCCTTTGAAGTTCAGCATAGGTGTGGTGGATATTCTGGCCTTGGGCCCTATAGGGGATGCTTAAGCCGAGTATGTCGTGGCTGTTGTCTGGGAACCACTGCTGAGACTTTGCAGCAAATCCCAAGTGTTACTCAGGACGTTGCATCTTGTTTAACCAGCTGAGCTATGAAAGCCGTCACTGAGAGCAGCTGAAATTGAACTTGTGCTTCCTGGCCTCATGGGCAAAATGTCACATCCCCAGGGGAGTCACCAAAGCTGACCATCCCCTGCCCTTTTGCTGTCTCTGCCTTCTCTCTGCCTACTGCAATCAGCTCCTGGCTGAGGAGTTGATAACTTGGAGGGAAGTCATAGTTAGTCTGTTTTAAGCATGAATGATAACAGGTAGATTGTGCTGCACACTGGGGCATCTCAATAAACCACTTCCAGCAGCAAAACAGACAGCATTGCCCAAGTAAGCACTTCACTTTGTCCTTTTCCCACCCCGCAGGCCCCGGCAGGACCTGATGAGGTTGGGAAGGTAAGCGACATCAGGGACGGCATTACCGGCTGGGGTTGTGGGTCTCATCTCCCACACATCAGCCTCTATTGTGGTACGTTCCTTTCAAAGGAGGAGGTCCAAGGGCCGAGGTAAGAGAAGACAAGACAAGAAGAGACGTAAAGACTGTGAACTGTAAGTGAGCAGGGGCAGGTATGGGTGGTATTTTCTGGGTTCATTTCTTTGGGATGAGCAGCTTCGTTAAGCCTTTAGGTCTTTACTGATGCTGTGAGCAGTGAGGGGTTTGTGCAGAGCAGACACAGGAGAAAGCAGGATGGAGGGGACAGTGGGTGGCTGTGGGGAAACGGGCCTTTTATTGAAGGCTCAATAGGTGCTTGGTAGTCTCCAGGCTCAGCTGCTCAAAGCTGGCCAGTCCCACCCAGGGTGGAGATGGATGGGCTGGGTGACTTGATGGTGTGTAGCTCTATCACCACAGACCATGCTGGGTTTCCTGGATCCATGAATTTCCAGTTTCAGCCTGATCTTTCTGCTAGCTGTGTCCTTCCTGCAGTCCTTGGCTAGTCATTGTTTGGGTTACTCTACCCTTTCCCTCCTTGCATTTAGCTGACTGTCTCAAATCGCTTGCTGTAACAGCACAGGCTGGACTCTTACTGCAGACACTTTTGGGGTATGGAGCCTGTGGCTGGCACTTTCCCATTATGTTTCCCCATTTTGTCTGAAGCTTGCTGCTTGGGGCTCAGCCAGCACCTACAGCCCCATCGCACTCGCTCCTCCCTGCGAAGAGGCTGCCTGCGGTCCCTACCCCACAGTTCGGTGCCGGAGAGGCTGGGCACAGGAAGGGGTGACCTGGGGCAGAGGGGGTGAGCCTGGAGGTCCTGGTGTCATCCCTGCCCCCCCAGTCCTGGCAGCACTCACCCCGTGCCGTACTCTCTTTGCAGATGTGGCACACCACGCAGGTAGCCTCCGCTCTGCCCCCGGCTTCGCTCCTGCCGCCCGGGTTTGGGCCAGCTGTGTTTCCCCTCCCAGTGTGGGGAACTTGCAGAGCCATGCCCCTCCAAGCAGCAGTGGGGAGCAGGACTCCAGCAGGAAAGAGCTGACTGGACTCTTGCTTGGCCCTTGCGGGAACGCAGCCTGGAACCGAGGACTCCCTTGCCCTGTCTGCACTGTCGGCAGCGTGACCAGGCCTGGGGCTGAAGATGAGGAGCTCAAGCAGTGCGTTGGTGTTTGAGGGCATCCTGGAGGCAACGAGGAGTGGAGCTGGTGGGCGTGCTGCTGGAGCTGGCTGGGGACAGCGTGATGGTGGGGGGTGAGCGGAGATGGCTCGGAGGGCTGCAGCTGCAAAACTGCTCTGTCCTGCCAGCGCCCTGCAGCTGGGGAGGAAGGAAACCTGGGGCAGTCAAGGCTGCAGGGCTGTGTCCGTCCCAGCCTTGGCATGAGGCAGCCCAGGAGCGTGCCAGGGAGCTTGCTTGTGAAGCCCTCCTGGTGGGGAAGGGGAGGGAATTGGGGTTGCCAGGGCTCCTCATGTACTCGCAGCCACATCCCAGCCTTGCCCTGCTTAATAAAACCTGGTGGTCAGATGCAGGAGTTGGCAGTGCGAGCACTCCTGTCTGCTTTCCAGCAGCTGCAGGCAGGACTTTTCCCCATGGGCACCCACCCAGCCTGGAGGAGGGCAGTCCCGTGGTGGCCCAGGGCTTGTCCCCAGCACTAACTCCTGCAGTATGCAAGGGGCTGCCCTTGGTGTGATGCTGGAGATGGGCAACTAGCAAGTCAGGACCAAGCTGCTCCCCAGGCTGGGGGCTACCCATGTGCTGGAGCTCAGGTGGGTACTGGGAGACCCCTGGGGGAGCTGCCCTTCTCCTCCACACCATGGTGTAGGGCTGGTACCTCTCCCTTTTTACCATCCCCATGCTGTTCTCACCCCAGTCCAAACATCCTGTAGCTCACTGTCCTGTAGCTTTCCTTCTCCCTGGCTGGGCCGATGCAAGGTTAGGGCAGTGGGGGGCAGGCTGCCCGTGGGCCTTCCCACCCAAGAAACACCCCACCAAGGCTCATTCACCCGGCATGGGGGCAGGCTGGCCTGGGGGCCCTGTCTCTTGTTGGGAACATCCTGGGGTGCGTAGGGGGCTGGTGGCCCTCATCGATGTGGCTGTGGGTGCTGCTGTTTCCTGCTTTCCCCGCTCAGCCAGGTCTGTGCCCAGCTCCAGGGGGCAGCCCCAGCCCTTGGTTTTTTGTGCCTTAAGCAGTGCCCTTGGGGCTCTTCCTCTCCCCTTTCCCGCCCCCGCTGCAGGAGGGCTGGGGCTGGCTGCCAAATGCGTCCCACACTGCTCTGCGCAAGCTGTACCCTGGAGCAGTGCACATAGCTGGAAACCCTAAGGACGAGTTGGGCACCAGCATGCTCATTGGGCACCCCTGGCACGGGGTTAAAACAAAATCAAGGGCTATTCTTGAAAGCTTTAAGCAAAAGGCTGGAGAGCAAGATGTGCAAAGGCTTCAACATTACCATCAAATGAGGTGACCTGTGGTTTATCCTGCACTGAGGAACAAGAGTGGAGCCTAACGTAGTAGGTGTTGGGGTCCAAGGCAGCTCCTCCCCACACCTGCCATGGCAGCCCATAGCCAGGGCAGGCTCCCTCAGGGCTGTAATGCTGGTGCTGCCTGGGGCTGGCACAAGGACATGGGGACAGGGCGGGTGCTGTGGCAGTGGTACCCTGGCAGGGAAAGCTGGTGGTGGGTGTTGAGGTGATGTGAACCTCCACGCTGCCACCATGCAGCAGGGCATGGACTGGGTGAGTTGCACCCGTGTAGCTGGGCATATCCTCCAGGAGCTTGCTGGATCCTGTTTGGACCCCATTTCCACTTCTGGCACCCATAGTGTCCTGGGGCACAGCCTACGTGGGCTCTGCCTCAGCAATGGCCTATGAAGCTTCTCCTTGGCTGCCTCATGGATGTGGGGGACTTACTGCTCCCCTTCCCATGCTGCTCAGGGTCTGCGTGGGCCACGTGGCACCCTAGCTCCGGTGGCCTGTCCTGGTCCATGCGGGTTCTCCCCATCCCCATGTGCTGTTTCAGCCTGGCTGGTTGCGCTTCAAGGCTAAAGAGAACTGTGTGCAGCACTCGAGGGATGTACGTGATGGTTTCTGTATTGTTTTTAACAGTAAAAGTTTCACCATAGTATTATTAAACCTTTAAAAAAGAAGTTACATAAACCCGTGCCTGTTAATTAATAAGAATAAGTTTGTCAAGAGTGATTAGGGTTAAAAAAAAAAAAATCAAACTCCCACCCAGCGGCTTTTCCTAACAGTTCCTGGTGTCTGGCATCACCTCTTTGGTTGCTGCTCAGCACTGAGAGTTTTCAGGCAGCTCTGCCCAGAGCTGGTGGGGCCGGGCACCTGCCTCGCATGGCCACCCGGTGTTGCTTCTTCCCCTGCATCGCCCAAGCCCCCTGGGTGCTGTGTGCAGCCTCATCCCCTGCTTTTCCCATGGCATGGGGTGTTGGGGTGGACGGCAAGGACATGGGTCCCTGGGAGGAATGTGGCTATCCCACTGTGGCAGCAATGGGAGGATCAGCTGGGGCAGGGCAGGAGCAAGGGAAGGTACCACCAGCATGGGGAGTTTGGGAGCTGCTTCTCCAGGTGTTGGGGCTCTGTCCAGCTCCAGGGGGTGTTTCACTGAGGCTTCACTGGCGAGGGGAACCTGATGAGCCCTAGCAGCTCCCTGACGCTCCTGGGGCTGCTGCAGGCATCACACGCCCAGGGGAGGACAGGCTCCCTTCCCTGCCCCTGCATGTCCCTGCTAGAGGGGAGAGTCCTGGGACCTCCAGGACCCTCCTCATCCCAGGGTGGCAGGGACTGCCAGCAGGATATCGCACCCAATGGTGACATGAAGGGTCAGGGTGGGGGCCTGCTGCCCCGAGGGGGAGAGCGGGGCTCCTGGCCTTGGGCCTTGTGGCCACCACCCATGCTTCCTCCGAAGGGGACCAGCCGCTGTCTGCCTGTCCCCCCTCTGTGTTGCTCTCAGTTGTGCCTTTTTTGGAGGCTTACACCAGTAGCTCCTGTCAGCCCTCCCTGGCCACAGCGGACATGTTCCCTGAGCACCCTGACAAGGTCAGCTACATCTATAGACCCCCATGTCCCCCAAGCACTGCAGAGCAGGCCTGTAGGAGGGGACTGGTTCCCTTGTAAAGGGACCAGGACAGACCCCAGCCCCAAAGCCCGCGGGGAGCAGAACAACCCCATGCTGGTCCGCCATGGACAGGCAGCAAACATGCCCCAGCCCCCGTGCTTCCAAATCCCCCATCCTTCTGCTGCCTGCATATCCCTTGCAGGCGGGCAGCTGTCTCACGGGAGCAGCACGTCACTGGGTTATCAGCGTCCCTGGGCTCCCTGTGTCTCCCAGCCTTACAGAGCAAAGGTTTGTTTAATAAGGCTTTAGGAGCCAGAGCTGCAGCAAGATGGTTTAGAAGGAGAGTTATAGGGGAAACAAAACATAAACTGGGCTCCAGGCTGCATTAGGAACAAAACATCACATATTTTTGGGTAAGTACCTGAAAAGGCGATGTGGAGATCAGCCCAGAGATGTAGCATCATAGCTGATGAAGCCCTGATGTTAGAGCTTTGCTGGTAACCTCCGGCCTCCCCGATCCTGGGATGCCAGCGGAGTGCTGCCGCCCAGCAGCTTCTCCCTGCACATGCTGGTGCAGGTCTCCCACGTGTCTCTGTGCAAATAAAGATGTGCTGAGGACCTAACCTCTCACTTGTGACTTACAAGATTTTGCATCCTCACAAAGTTGGGCATAATCTTTCTGCTTGTTGCAGCCAGCAATGTTTGCAGTCTCAGAGTGTTTTAAGCTTTTGCCAGCTCTCATGCGTCTATTTTAGGCTGTGAGAAAAAGGGCAGCTCTCACTCCCCTCCCTGTTATTTGTCAGTGCTGGTCTTGCTTTGGAAGTTCCCACTTCCTGACAAGGGCCACAAGCTCTTCAGCAGGTTAATCTAAAACTAATCCCGCCAAATTTAACATCCTCCAGACAGCACTGACATGGGAAACTGGAAGCCCACAGGTAAGGGCCGCTGTGCCTCAGGGCTTGCATCTTCCCTTGCAAGGCTGTTCCTCGCAGGCCAGTCCTTGGGGCACTTCTCCTTGCTGATGCCTTCGACTCACTCTCTTCTGGGCTGCCCCTTGTCCCCTGAGCCTTGCTGACCCCCCAGGGTGACTGCTCAGGGCTGAGCGACCCCAGCATTGCCCAAGTTTGGCTCCGCTCAGCTCTGCAAAGCTCTTGCTGTGGACTCCCAAAAGGAGGTCAAACCACCATCTTCCATCACCTCCCTTCCCGTCCAGAGGGGACACAGCTTTAACTGTGTGAAGCAATAAAATGCTTTAAATACAGTCCTGATGTGACTTTGGGTAACAGCTGGTTTATCTCTGTGAGGGCTAAAGAAGGTGTTTAGCAATGAACCCACCGGAGTTTTGTTCCCCTCCTGGCGACTGCTCTTCCCACATCTCTATCGGCATCACCCTGATATCCAAACCATCTACAGATACCTTACGCTGGGCTTTGTAGTTCACTTGTGCTCTCTGTCCTCTCCAGGCTCACACAGATCTGTTGAAGTCAGGCAGGTGAGTCGTGCTGGCAGAGTCTCTGCTCTCATCCTAGGCCCTGCTTCAGTTTTTGCCTGCTCAGACTTTTCTTTTGAAGGAGGAGCCCCTGGGCTCTGGTGGGAATTAAAGGGCCCTAGAGACTGTGGGTGGTAAACAGGCTGGGCAGAAAAAATTGGTTTCTGTTAAGTAGAGATTGGTGGGAAAAAGGAACCTGGAAGTGTTTTGAGAAGAAACCAAGGAACCAAGCACACGGATCATGTTTGGGCAGTGGGTTGTCTTACAAAGCAGACCCCTTTCCATCCTACCAGACCTGCCCTCTGAGGCACACAGTATCAGCCTTTCGCACTACCAAGCAAATGGTCTTTGTAAGAAAGAGAGCGTTTGGTTGTTGAATGCTGAGCTGAGCCGCGGGCACGGGCTTTACTTTTCCTGTTCTGTTCTTAACAGACTGGGCTGTGCAAAAGAGCTTCCTGGGGGAGCTGAGCCAGGGGAGATCCCCCACCATCAGTGTGCGTGGGGTATGAAGTAACGGGTCAGCCACAAATGGGTGCCCCCTTGGGCATCCTGGCCTGGCTCTGGAGCCTTCACTCTGCTCCGGGCTCAGATGCCATCTGCTCGCTCCCTGGGACAGGCCCCATAGCAAGTACCAGCTCCAGCAGGGGCTGGACGCAGGGACCGTCCAGGCTGGCATGGCT